CAGATCAACCAAGGTACACTGCTGAGGGTAGCAGCGGGCGAGTCAGGAGAGGTCTGCTGCACGATGTGGGTTGCTCCCTGGCCAGCCAGGAATCGAACTCATGCTGCAGAGGCTGCAGATTGCTTCATAGTGTGGTGCTTAACTCCTTGTACCACCAGGGAGGCCCCTAAGCATAATTATTAATAGCTCCCCTTTTATTGTCCAGGGCGTGCCTACCGATCGCACGGTCACCTTGGAAGGGAAGAGGCTACCTTAGAGAAACATATGGCAGACCGTCTGGGTTCCTTTCAGGACAAGCTTGCAGTCTTTCTCCTGAGTCCCTCCCATGTGCTCCAGGGAAACTCATCCTCCACCCTCATCCTCACCTCACCAGCTCTAGGAATATTCTAAGCATCCAGAACAATCTGGCCCTCACGCAACAGATAGAGAGCTTTTCCTCTCCCCCGCCAAATGCGGGCTTGCCAAGGTCCTCATTTCCTGCACAGGAATGACATCTTTCTTAGAAGACTGACAATGCACATTTTCATTTCCTTTTGCAAGAACCCCACTCCCACCCACAAGGATTTGCTTTGGCCCTATGCCCCCAACAATACAATCGCAAAATAGTTCCATGTTGATAAATATCCCAGCGTCTTAATCTAGATATCTTCAAACCATAAATCTTTTATGGAACAAGGCAGAATCACAATCAATCGATCTGTTTTCTCTTTTAGCACCAATCAGATTGTATTATGATTGTATCCATGGGACTCCCTCCCTGAGTTGTGTGTTCTGAGAGATGTGGTTACCTCATTCATCTTTCTGCACTCCCAAAGCCAGTTCCCAGCCTAGCACACAGAAATGCTAACTAAAGCATGAGCGGATGATTAAATATGACAATCACTTTCTGTTAGATTGTGAGCTCCTTGAGAACAAGGACCGTGCTTGTTCATTTCTGTCTCCATCATACTTTGCAATGGTCCATGGCAGCTCTCTGGAAGACAGAAGCTCACGGATGGGTGGATGGGTGGCAGGGTGAGGAAGGAAGGAAGGATTAGGTAGGGAAATCCTTAGCCTGTGAGATTGGTATCAAGGGAGGAGACAGAGCTACTTTGACCTCTAGGACTTTTTCAGGCCCCAACTTCAATTCCCATGACCTCCCTATGGCTCCCATCTTGCAATTCCCAAGAAAACCATAAGTATCCTTCCAACTCCTTCTACTAGGCGCAGTGTGAATGGATCTCTCTTTCTTCTAACCAAAGGAGCATGGCTCAGCTTTGACTCTTCTCCCAAGTTGAGGAGTAGACAGGAACTGACACTTACCTCTTGCCTGTGGGTCTTAGGAGGCATGGCATATTTATTTCCTCTCATGGCTTACCCCAAGATATTGCTAGAAAGCTGGGTGTTATCAGAGCCTTGCTAGCTCAGATCAGGTTAATAAGCCTGCCCTGGGAAGTTCCTCTGCTGGTCTGTGTTGGGGCTAAAGGGACTTTTAGGAAGAACTTGTCCCTTACCTTTGAAGCGTCTTTGGGCTCCTAGTATCACCCTCAACAGTTGCTGTGTGTGGTCCAAGTAAGCCATCCCCTGTTCTGGGCCTCGATTCACATCTGTAAAATGGAAGGAAGGCATTAAGCCTTTTCTTCTTGAATATATTGAGCTATGTGACTTGTTAAGGTCACTAACATAAACCCATTGCAAATTTTCCCCATCCTTTGGATGGGATAACTAAGTTTTGAGCTCAAAACTGTTCATGCAAAACCTCCGCCCTTTACTGGCTTCCACAAAAGCACAGAGAACATGTTGTGATTTTGTCATTTTCTGAATATGTGTGGGTCTCATGCTCCTATAACTCATGTTCTTCCTGTCATCCAGAATTCCTCCCCCATTTTCACATGCATAAATCCAGCCCGGCTTTCTAGTCCAGTCTTCTCCAGGATACCTTCTCTTCTCCCCTCCTGCAAAGCTAAACACCTCCAGGCCTGTGGTTCGGGCCCCAACTCCCTAGGCTGATGGGATTTCCTCTGCAGGCTGGTGACTTCCCAGGGAGCAGAAAGGATGGCTCTGCTCACCCCTTTCTGTCCACAAGGGGCTTTCAAGGGGTTCTGTCCATAGTAGACACCACTGAGTGTTGAATGGCGCCGACAGCTTGGCAGGGACCTTTATGATGTAGTAGAAGGATCGTTTATGATCTAGTAAATGTTCACAAATTATTTTTAGACTTTCCAAAAAGCAGACCACAAAACAGAAAGTGTTATGTTTTGAAAGTGTGTGAGATGTGTGTGTCATATATAGTCATTCGTGGTGGCAGGATTTGGGGTGACTTATTTTCTTCTTTCAGCATATCTGTATTTCTAAATGTTATAATGTGAGCATGTATTACTTTCAAAAGGAGAAAGCTGTTTAAAAATAAATATGTAAGTGCTAGTCTAGTGATGAAAGGACAGGGCTCCAGTGTGCCACCAGACTCTAATTTGAGCTGGATCTTGGAGCAGAAGTCATCTCCCGGCAGCCAGGTGGCCCTGAGACACGGCCACTGCCCCGGGAAGCCCAGAGGCACCTCTAACTGCAGGACTGTTCCAAAGGAGTTTGCTATGATCATTCGACAATCAGGAGGAGTCCTAGTGGCACTGCTTTTGCTGACAGCGATGAGGACTACCCCTCCATGGACACCATGGACACAGCACTTTACAGTTTACAAAACATTTTTACATACCACCCCCAACAGTTGCTGTGTTGTCTTTTTTTTTCTTCTCAATCCTGCAAAGCAAGTATTAACATTTCCTACTAACAGATGAGTTATGGGGAGTAGAGGGACAAACTGAAGTCAGGGTCAAGGTCATAGAATTGGCAAAGGATAACACCTTTCGATAAAGCTAAGACCTTCCTCTCCCCCCACAAAGCGTACCATTCATGGCGCATGGATCAGACAGGCTGTCTGGAGTAACAAGACATCCACACATCTTTCCGAGTCTGAGTGATTCAGTCTTGAGGGAGTTAGGGCTGGGGGAATGCATATTTTCTGCCTGTAGTCTGCAACACAGATGAGCCCTCCAAGAAGTTCCCTCCAGGAGTAAACCAGCTTGAGGTGCCCCCTTAAACCAACCACTACCTGATGCTTGGAAAGCCTCTGTACATGGCAGAATTTCTGGGGCCGTGGGCTTGGGGCCAAGGAGATGAGGGGCAGGCAGTGTCTGGAGCAAGGTTGGGAATTAGAATCAGGGTTCTTGGAGTAGAATCAGGACTTAGCTGTACTCTAAGGAAAGACAGCAGGGACCCCCCAAAGCTCGGATTCCTCATGAACAGGAAGTACCCAGAAAAAACCCTCTGACCTGTCACAGAAAAGCCCCCATTAGTAATTGCTCAGTGGCTCCCACCGTTTCACCAAAAGGCCTTTATTTCTACTCTTCTACAGACCTTTGATAGATTCGTTGGGAGGATCTAAAAATTAATAACATTTTCTTTATAAAATATAATTACAATGAGAAAAAATAAAATATAGTATACTAAGGAAGATATTAAATATTGAGTTTGTATATAACTTCTAAGTTAAATCTTTTCAAATGTTTTAATGAGAAACGTGAGTTCGCTTTTGGAAGCATTTTTTAAATATCAGGTTTTACACTGGAAATGATTATACACAATTGATCAAATGACTCCACACAAATCAACAAAAATTTAATGAGGATCTTTTCAAGTTCCTGACAAGCACCATGAATGAGAAACCTTGTTGTCTTGTGGCAGCGATAAAACATTCAAAATCATTTTTAAACAAGTATTCACCACATGATTAAAAATATATTTACAGAGTCAAATAGGTCTTTTTAACTGACAAAAGTTACATTGGAATTTCTTGAAGCAAATGGGTGTACTATATAATCCAACTTGTGCACAAAGTACTTAAAATGATACATCTTTCCTGCAACCCAGGCAAGAGTGTCAGATAAGCCAGGCTGCAGAGAATGGAGTGTCTCTAGTGGATGAGGCGAGGAAAGACAGAAAGACCCCACTGCTGCCCAGTCCTTGACCCCACCATGGGCGGTGACACCTGCAGACAGGAACACACACTCCACGAGCCCCTTGGTCACCATGAAACAGTGGTGCGCCTGGAAATCAATAGATAAAGTAGGTGATGTCCAGGTAGAGGAGCTTCTTTGACAACTTCCAGCTTTCCAGCTCACTTCACTCCACCTGCAAGAATGTCAGGTTGCCTCTACCCATCCACCCCACCCACCTCCAAAAAAAAATAAAAACAACTTTCCCAAGGAACGGGCACAGGCTTTATCCCTGCCAGAAACAACCAGCCCATGACCTCCAGATGCCCCAGGATCACCTGAAGGGGGCAGTGGGGCAGCTCGGGCTTAGAAGGTCCCATCTTCTAAGAGGGGTTTGAAGGTCTAGAATTTTCCAGGAGGAATTCTAAGCCAGCTTCAAAAGAGTGGTGGAGAGTGGAAACCAGGGGAGCAGAAGAGAGAACAAAGGCCAACTGGGCTAAGGCCACTGGGGCCTTCTGCCTGGCTGGTTGCCCCAAAGTGTCACGGCTGCATAAGGCCTGGCCTGGCCCAGGGGGGACCTGGGAGCTCTTCCCTCTCCTCTCCTACTTCTCCAAGGACCCTCCGGAAGGGCCCTGAATGTACACTGAGGCAGATTAGGGAGAAACCAGCCCAGCACGAGGTGTCCACCCTGGAAATGTGAGGCTTGACCTGAGACCTGCATCTTTATTGCTTCTATTGAAGCAGCGAAGTGGGGGGGGGGGGAGGGGATGGAACAGTTGGGGACAGAGAGGACTGAGGGAGAGGGAGTTTGGGGGAAAGAAACAGATGTAAAGGCAGGGATGGGGAGAGACAGGACTGACCTTGGAAAGAGAGCTGGGCGCAGAGAGGCTGAACGGGAAGGAGCCCACAGGACAAAGGACACGGGTGCACTGGAGGAAGACGGAGGCAGACAGAAGACAAGGATGGGAGTGTGGAGAGAGGGGGCGTGGGGGCGGGGTGGGGGGCAGCAGGAAAGGAAAGAGAAAGCGGAAGCCGGTGAGACTGGGAGAGAAAGTCAGGATCCCAGCCGGCTCCTCAAACACAGGATGCAAGCGAGCGCCCTTTGGAGAAGGCGCGCTCAGCGAAACGCTAACTCCACTGGTAAGTGCAAATGTAAAGAGGCCCTGAGAGCACTTTGTGCAAATATCAGGCCGGGAAGTGCAGCGCCCGCATAGCTGCCCGACGCCCCGCGCCCCTGCGCCCAGGCCTGCTCGCTAATTCACTTTGCCGGCACCTCCCGGGCGGGGTGGGACTCGGACTGGCACGGGCAGCCGAGAGCACAAAGGGCGTGGAGCACCGGGGAGGGCCAGGGGCCGCCGTCCTACTAAGGGAGCAAGAGACAGATCAGCAGAAGCAAACGGTGCGGGTGCAGGTGGAGGCAGGAACAGCAGGGATGGAGGTAAAAGGACTTGCAGAAGACCTGAGGACACAGCGGTGGACGAGGCTGTGGCCTTGAGTCCTAAGACTTCCACCTGCATGCGGCTGGGAGACTACGTCTCCTCCTCCAGGGCATGGAAATAAAACCTTTCCTGTTTGCCTCAAAGGCTATTTGTGAGGCTGAAATGTGAAGGCGTTTGAAAGCCATGAAGTTCATAAATGGTAACTGATGAGATAATAACAGCCAACACTGTGCAAGTGTCTGGCACTGTTCTAGAGTCTTTGCAGACATTTGCTCGTGGAATCCTCTCAACACCTCCACTTCTGCCCATTTTGAAGGTTATAAAACTGAGGCACGGAAGGTGAAGTTACTCATCCAAGGTCACACAGACTGTAGCTGGCTGGACAGCCTGACAGCGTGGCCGCACAGTCCATGCTACTCTCTAGTTGTTGTCTTGCCCAGTTAATTTCCACACTTTACAGGTGAAGGAAAGGCGGGTCGGGTGGAAGCAGGACTTGACTCCCATGCACGGAGGAATTGGTGGAAAGACCATGGACTGTGGGGGGTGTAGACTTAGTCTTATTCTGCACTGTGTCATGTTAGGAGCTGATTTCCTTCTCTGTGGTCGAGAATATTGACCAATTCCACAGCTTATTGTAAAAATTATGTGAGGAAAGGTGTGTGAGAAACCTGACGTGTAGCTGGCACTCAGTAAATCCATGTGGTCAGCATTTATCAAGCAGCATGCGGAGCCCTGAGGGGAGAGCAGTGAGGAAGGCAGAGAGGAACTTGCCTCGGAGATGGATCCCAAGTAAATAAATCATTTCAGATTGTGGCTCGGAAGATGGGGAAGGAAATTAAAAAAGTGCTCTCCTGGGCTCATATAGTGAAACCCACTTGGGGAAGATCTGGAAAGGCTTATCTGAGGAGATGACAGTGAAACTGTAAGATGAGACGGAGCTAACCAGGACAAGAGCTAAAAATCATGCCCCAAGAGGGACCGTCAGTGCAAAGGCACTGCGGCAGAAAAGAACTTGGTGCAATCTAGGATTGGTCACAGTAGCCAAAGAGGGGTTCAGAGACGTCAATAGGGGCCTGACCTCACAAGGGTTTGTAAGTCATGGATCTTATTCCAAGCCCAACAGAAGTCATGGAAGGATTTTAAGTAGAAGCAACAGGATCCAATTTACACTTTTAAATATCACTCTGGCTGCCAGGTGGAGACTGGAGAGGAACAAGAGTGAAAACAGGAAGTTGTTAGAAGGTGAATAGCCAGGTTTGAGCCAAAAGGCATCAGGACAGATGGAAAGACATGGATGGATGCAAGAAGATTTTAATACAATAGGAATGCTAACTGCACCCACCCTTTTATCACCAACCAGCACCAGGTGGTCTCAGACCCAGTTTGTAGGTTCATTCGAATGGGCTCCACCAGTTCCCCTGTGGCCACAGGACTGTTGCCCCAGGAATCTTTAGCTGACTCTCCTGTTCAGCTGCTTCCTTAGCTGATTTGGGGGTGTGGTGCAACCATCCCAGATCAGGTTAGATTCGCCATCAGTTCTCAAATCCACCTGTGAACTAGCACAGCAATGGGAAGGATGAGGCACAGGAAGGCAAGGCTGAGACCACTATCAGAGGGATGACCGGCTCCATTCTCCCTGAAGAAGGGAGGCTTATCATTGCAGAGGTATTATCTTTTCTGCTGAGCAGCTCCTGCCTCTGCCTCTCAGGCCCAGTGTCTTCTGCCAGGCCCAGCATGACGTCGCCTTTTTACCCTCACTTCTAGGCCCAGGTATGCAACTTACACATGCACACGTGCTCCTTGGGCCCAGGTCCATAATCCTTGGAGGAGTGCAAGCCCGCAGGTGCCAGCCACAGAGGCTAGTGGCACGAGGGTGTAAAAACACCTGAATTTTAACTCATTTACCCTACAGGGGGGCAGGCTGGCCCACTGCCCTGTAAAAGACTGGGAAGCAACGGGCAGGTTTTGGAGTCAGTGGGCACTGACCCCAGGACCCAAGGCCAGCACCTCACCCTCATCCTCTCTGCTGTGCTGGGTCCACAAGAGGGGATGAAATGATCAGCCATGGTCCCAGTCTTCCAGGTGGAGTTTTCTGGGGCACTGGTCACTCTAGAGGAGACCTCAGGAGAACAAGCTGAGGATTATCCTGTTGTATTTCTTTAAGTATTTGTTGTTGAAATGGAAGTTACAATCCAAGCTCATTTGAATAACAGAATCATAGGAAAAACACCCTCTAACCACAAAAATGAATATTCAACATTCCCACCTTATCTTCTATGCTATGTAGGGCTGTTTCTCAGCTGCATGTTAAACGGCCCCTTCATGTGAAGCTGGCAGAGTGGTGGTTTTGCAAGACAGAATGCTCCTGGGCTAAGGAGCTAAATTCAGAGCCTAAGTCATTCTGGGCCCTCAGAATTTCAAGGCTCTTAGGGGGACAGGCCTGGAGCCCTGGGGAAGGTAGGAGAATCCAGCAGATTGACTCAAGATGGTGGAGGGTGTTGAGTGAGAACTGAGTGGTTCAGAGGCCAAGCCTGTCCTGGTTCTGGTGGGGCTCACAGGGAGCCCCCAGAGAGGAGCCTCCTAATACAAGGACATCTCAAATGGCAGTCCTGCTAAGTGGTGGGCTTAGCAGTGGCACTGCAGAAACCCCCCACTGAAAACTGGGGCTTCCCTGGACCTCTCTGACCCTTGGGAAACACTGAAGACACTGATGTTTTTTTCACTCACTATCTCCAGTGAGGCTGAGCTCCTGGGACTCAGCTACCACACTAGACACACCCCACATAGGGGTTCTCAGAACACAGGGGATCCCTTCTGTCTCCTTGGCTTTGTGTTTGCTGTGCTGACCTCCCTAAATGTCTTTCCTCACACTTGGACTCCAGTGGTTTCCTCTCGCAGGTTTTAGTTACCACAGTCAACCACAGTCTGAGGATAGGATGTACAAGAAGCTATTTTGAGAGAGAGACCACACTGGCATAGCTGTTATTACAGTATATTGTTACACTGTTCTATTATTAGTTATTGTGGTGAATCTCTTACTGTGCCTCATTTGTAAATAAAACTTTAGCACAGGTGTGTATGTATAAGAAAACACATAATGCATATAGGGCCTGCTACTATCTGGGGTTTCAATATCCCTAGGGCACCTTGGGATGTAGCTCCCCTTGGGAGAAGGAGGGGCCACTGTACGCTGTTCTGCAATTACCTGTTTTCATGTCCTCCACCCAACTATCCTGTAGATTCCCCAAAGGAATCTCTGCATTTGCACGCTTGGTGAGAATCCAGCAGAGCCCAGTTCAGCCTGGGCTCATAAATGCACAAATGAGACACAGTGGCTTGGGATGAGCCAGTGGGTGACACAAAGCAGAAAAAGAGGGAATGTGTTGGGTGACAGAACCAGGTTCTCAAAAACTCTGACTTGCTGGATCGGTGGGTTTAATCCAACAAGAAGACTTCTAGCAGAAATAAATGTCATGCCCTGTGCTTGTATTAGGCCAGCGGTCTCACAGTGGGCGCAGGGGAGAGTAGGCAAGGGAGAGCAGCGGAACCGAGGAGCAGCCTGGTCTGATGGGCATGGGCAGACTGCCATAAGAGCCAGAGTCCTCGTGGGCAGGGTTAATAGACACATCGCCCCAGGAACAAGGGGAAATCCCCTGGTAAGTCCAAACGAGACACTCCAAATGGTAGCACATGAGGAATGTCTCAAGGGAATACAATTAAGACATGAAGGAGCTTGTTTCAGGGCTCCAAGGGATTGGTCAAGAGAGACAGGGACAGATGGGTTCTGTGGGACTTCAAGAGGCAAAATAACCTGATGGTGGGAAGCGCATCATAAGGAAGAAACAGGAAAGTCAGGCAGTATCACCTCAAGTGGCCTGAGCTCCCCACCCACCAGAGGGAGGACTGGCCACTTGGCAGGGGTCCCGTGGGGCCTGTTACTTCTCAGCTTCGTTTCCTACTGTTCTCCTCCCTGCTCACAGTGCTTCAGCCACACTGGCCTCCTTGCTGCTTCCCACCCACACCCAGCACAGCCCTCCCCAGGACCTTTGCACTTGCTATCCCTTTTGCCTGGATCTTCTCCCAAATATTTTCAACCCTCCCTCCCTCCCTGCCTTCAACCATATTTCTGCCCACTTGTCATCTCCAGAGAGGCACATTCCCTGGCCACCCCTCTAAATTTAGTATCTGTTGCTGTCTGCCTCTCTGACTATACGGTAAACTTATGAGCAGAACCTTTTATACTTATTCATTGCTACAGCTCCAGGGACTGGTGGGAGTAGGGATTCAGTAAATATTTGTCAAATGAAGAAATGAATAATTTCACTTATTCTCCATCATAGCCCTTGCTCCTCATGGAAAGATGTAGTGGAGAAAGATCCCTCACCCATGGCATGTTTAATGGACAAGTCATGGAGACGAAGAAGAGGAGAGAACTCACCTGGACTGGGCGCTGTCCTGCCAGGCACTGTGCCAGGGGTTTCTTATCCATTATTTCATTTAACCTCTGCAACATTGCGGTGAGTTAGGATTATTTCCCCCAAATCTCAAAGTTCAAAGTGTTATGTAGCGCTGGACTCATGGGATGCAAGTCACTGAAACAAAACTTGCTAATGGAGGCAGAGGGGACTGAATGGAAGGCATGGCATGATTTGCAGGGTGGAAGAGACAGTGGAGAACCAAACTTCAGAACAGAGGAGAAGC